TACTACTAGTAAGGCACTTGTTACTAGAAGCGATGCACTTGTTACTACTAGGAATTCCGGGGAGCCCACTTCGTGAGGTCGTCATCCGCGCGAAGTGGGTGGGTCGTGTCCAAGTCGCCCAACTGAAGTGGAGGTGATGGACGAATCCTCAGTCGAGAAAGAAATGAGAAGCCACAAGAACTCCAAAAACAACAACATCTAGTTAATTCGAGATGGATAGTTATCTCGTTGCTTCTCAACAACAAGATACCGCTCGAACCGGAGTTAACTCCCAGGAACCTACGATGTGTTGGGGCCCTGCGAGGCCCCGTTGGGGCCATGGTGGTCCTGCACCCTGACCTCGTTGATTGACGCCGACAAGCAAGAATAGCCCAGTGGCATTCCGGGTGATGCTGACGAGCTCAGGCGGAATCTCGATGTAAGTGAAGTTATACCAAAAAGCCGTCATGTTCTTCTTGGTGCCAGTAGTATCTGGCCAAATGCTGGCCTCCGTGATGAGCTCCGATCAAAGGGCTCTTCTTTTCTCTCACGTTCTTAAGCAACAAACAGTTGTATGAGCTGCAACAAGGTTAGGAGATATTGATATGATCGAAAAAATGTTCATCGATGTATTTGGCACATAGGACATAGGCGTTGTATTCTATGCTTGCCAACGGTTCATCGATTGGAGACTTCCAAACACTTCCAAACACGAATCACCAATCTCAACCGGTGCGAACGGTGCAGACTTTCCTCGTCGAAGGTCACGTTGTAGAGGCAACTTCCAGTCCAATAGGTCGCCGGTGGCGTAATAATCAGAATTCGCGAGCCTGGTACACAGGGATGACTGGCCAAGCTCTTGGTAGACTGGTCTCAGGTCGTTTCGTAAGTAAACAAAACAAAACTCTTTCATTTGCCCGAGTGTATCCTCTGCTGGCTGAGACCTAGAGAACGCCCCAGGAACACCCCGAAGAAGGTGCAACACTTCATGCCCATCTAGAGCAGGCCTGCGATTTCCATTCCAGCAGCACCTTCCAGGGAGGTGGTCTGCATCTGAGAGGGATATTGGGTGTAGTTCTTGTCGTCGTCGTGCACGCAATTCTCACCAGACCTAATCTTGCATTGATGAAACCAGTCCATCTGTTCCAGTGAAATACAATATGACACTAATTTAATATGCCTTGTTGTAAGACTCTTGTTTCAATTGGTCTATGCCGTCTCAAAGTCAAACACTTTGAAGGTCTTAGGCCGGAGTCTTCAATTAAGGTTGATCAATCACCTTGTTCCAGATTCTTGCCCGTTTTGCCAATGTCACATGGATGCCACCGAGAAGCTTGATCACTTCAACCTTTCGATTCGGTTGGCCTGGAATAACGGCTTGATCGAAGGCAACCATGATACTTCCAGGCGAATCGTAGACGTCGGTGCTGGGCAAGTAGAAAATCGCCCTCAGTGAGCCGAAAGACGCAGCAACAGCTGAAGCTCTACTAGGGGCTCCTGGCCTTACTACTAGGAACAACACTGCGTTCATGAAGACCTTGAAGTCGTGCCAAGAAGCGCAGGTGGTGTCAGGATCGTCGTGGTGATCTCCTCCGAGGTGGTCCAATCCTGGGGCGCTCTTCGACCGTGGGCAAGACCGCGGCACCGTGGGGCGCCGCTGAACCTAATAGCAATGGCCTCCAACCTAGTAGGGATGGTCTCCCACCTAATAGCGATGGCCTCCAACCTACTAGCAATGTCAAGTCAAGAACATGTTTGCCGAGGTTCGGAATTGAGGTCTGAATTGGTACATTCCTGGCGACGCGCCAGGCGTTTTTCTTATAGGGCTCTTTGTGCCGCTACATTCATGGCACCACTAGTGATGGGATGGCATACCCCACGATATTATGTGAATGCAAACAAGAGCAGGCATATCATAAACGAAAAGCCAGACCCTTCCGATACTGCGACGCAATCCATGGTTTCCCTAGCCCATCGGTCTCTATTTTCATCTGTCTTGTATATAGCTCCGTCAAAACAAACAAACTCAAAAGGTGACTTGAAGAGTTCTCGGAAACGAGGCCTAGTAGCGTCCTTGCTCCTAGTAGCGATGCCAGGAGCCCCTAGTAGAGTTCTTGTTCCTAGTAGTAAGGCCAGGGGCTACTAGCAGCGTCCTGGCTACTAAGGGTTTGTCCACCAAAACAACGTTGGAATAGAGTTGACGGCGATAGCACAATGACCCCAGCCGCCACTGCCTCTCGTACTCGAAACTGGTACGTGCTACCTTCTTCCAAGTATTGGGCTTCGCATTGGAGGACAGATGTCCTTCGAGCAGTCTCGTTCGGCCACGGCGTCTCGTTCATTTGAGAGCTCGTCAAGAAGTGTGTAGGAGCAAAGGGCATCGCTACTAGGGGCTGGCCGTACTACTAGGAACAATAAGCTACTAGAAACAAGAAATAAATAGAATTAGAATTCGCAGTAAACTAATCTAAAATCACTTAACATTTAATTAGAAACCATACATGACATACCTACGTAGTCATGGTTCTTGTTTCTCGTACGAAGGCCAAAAGAAGGGCCGTCGAGAAGTGTTCATGGTCAATCAAGTGTATCCACATGAATGAGCTTTGTGTATGGATGCCCTCCGTCTACCTTTCGTACCAGCCAGCCCTCCATCCGGATCATGGTCCTTGACGCTCCCGTCAATGTGGAGTTCGGACAGTTATCATTCCTCAGTAGCCGTGAAGACGCCTACTGCTTCCAAACAATCGATCGCAAAACAGCAGGAACTATGCTGAGAAATAGGTGCAGCTGATGACTGAATCATCACCAGACTGGTCGGCAAGTGGCAAACCACCACCCCATGCAGCACATCTTGGGCCCCCCTTTCGAGCCGTTTCGCTGTTGGTTTCAAGACGGTCTCTGTCGTTTCGCAGTGGCGTCGCTGTTCCGAGCATCTCAATCCACTCGCTCCAGGCTGCTTCGCCGGTGTATGAGTTGGTCAGCAGGTACTGCAAACGCCAACTCTGAAACACACCTCAAACGGCGCGCGAAAACGGCAGCGGGTCGAACACGGCCGTTTTACGGCAACATTCTTAGACTCGGCTCAGAAACGCACCCTGCAAATCCGTAAAAAAGGGACCCTATTCATGGAGCTTCAAACGAAAGTCACGCCAAGGAGCAGTCCGAGGTGTCACCAATGGACCATGCGACCACGATGGAATCGACATTTCTCTCCTCGCAAGCAGCACGTGTTCCTCGACGGACGAGTGACGAGTGAGGCTTGGAATCGCCCCAAAGGTCCCGATCTTGAGTTTCTTGTGTTTCTTTGGCATGAAAGGTGTTTTTTTCTCGACATGGTGGATCAGTGAGATCTATATACTCGATTTCCTGCTGCAAACATCGATCCGCAACCAAGTATACAAAGGTTGGAGCCTTGCAGGCTCCTGTGTCACTATGGTTGCTAGGGATTTGGTACTCTCTTTCTTGATTCATGTCTTCCAGAGCGAAATGAGATGTGGCTCAGACCTGGCAGACTTGTGAAAGATGGGGAGAGTTGTGAAAGGCAGTTTCGTGTGGATGAAAGAAGGCAATACTGTTAGATTCAGCTTGGTCATGGCTTCGCATGGTTAGAGAAGCAGGGTCTGATCATGGTCTCCCAGCAGCAAATGACAGAACCTTGCATGCAAATGCTAGGATGTTGAAGAAGCAAGACTTCATTTAATCTGAAAAAGGATGTCTTGCTGCTAGGGATGCCTGTGTATCAGGTGCAGAAGTACTGCCTTGAATCGCGGTGGAGCGGTTGATGCAGGCATTATTGCTGGTTCCACAAAGTTGCTGAAAGCTTCATTCCTCCCAAATGAAGCTTCGCCAAAAGCGAAGATGCACCAGAATGACGGCATCTTACACATTCTTCTCGACCCTTCTCCAGGTCTTCTTCCAACACCCTTCTCACCCCTTGCTTCGTCCGTTCGAGCGAACCGCTCCGCGCCGCGCTGCGCCTCGTAGGTGACGTAGATCGGCGCCGAGGCGACCGCATGGCACTCGTAGGTCGTCGGCGTGAGCACTCCCTTGTCGCAGGACAAGCTGCTCGCGGTGGGCACATAGGTCGGACTGTTGCCTTCCCTCAGGGTTCGGTCGAGGAGTGGAACACAGGACAGTTCCAATTACGGCTCACCGACGGTTCCTTTGAACAGCATGATTGTTCATCCCGAGAAAACAAGGTCAAAAGGAATGGCCGCAGCGGAGGACCAACACGTTCTCAGGCACGACTTGCACTGGTAAGCGGAAATCGTCGAAGTGAAGATTCTTGAAATAGAATTAGAAGGACACCAATAGACCAAAAGTATTATCTAATTATATAGGAACTTGAGGCCGTGGCGGTTGGGAGAAAGCTAGGGCAATCGGTGTCATCCGAGTTCAAGAAACGATCCAAACAGCCAGCAAAACGGGCAATCTGGTGGCAATGTTCCTCGCTGAGGGAGCGGGAGGAGGGGGTTTTAGATGACCTCAGTATGTTTGAACTGATGCAACCAAGAAATCCAAGAACAATATTCTCTTGTCTACGTGCCTTGCTCATTTTTGGGTCGAGACACGCGCAGTTTGGTGTGCAAGTTCCACCGGAGGGGATTGACGTCCCCTCTTGGCAACTGTCAGTGTCCTCAGATCATTTGACCAATCACATGCACAACATTTCAGCAACCTACAACCTTCTGAGCAGCAGTGTCTTCCGTGGACATGCATCCAAAGCGTGCATCTAGGGACTGACAGGCGGACGTTCATCCACAATAGTTCGTCTGGGAAAGGAACAACACCATCCCCACAGAAAAAAGAATTAGCATGGTATGTTGCGGGAGCCATTTTGTAAGAGGGACACGTGTACAGAATGACAAGGCTCTTGTCTTGCTTCACAAGATGGCGGGGCTACACCCCCTAAATCCTTACAAAATGACTCATCTGACTGTGCACATCTCACGGCATGAGAAACCAACACTGCGTTGATTCCACTCGATTTCAGATGATTCTGGCTTCACTTTATCCTCGTAAAACTTTCCGTATGACCTTTCTTTACCATACGCAGTCACACTCAGGTCTGAGGGATTCATGATGTTGTAGAAGAATTGTGAGGCTGACTCTGCATGTTTGTTTTGTTTCACTGTTGTTGGATAAAAAGTCAACCCGAATCATCAAGATGACACGATAGCTATGCTACAGGAGGCGTACAGGCCTGGCTTTTGTTCATGGGATCGCTAGAGAGGTTCTACAAACAAGTGACATGAAAGATACAGTAAAAAATCAGGAGGTGCCGGGATGATGCCAGTTACAAACTTGATCGCTTGTGTATGAAGTCACACCAAAGAAACATATTGTGTGATCGAAACTGAAAGAGTCCTGCTACTGGAAGCCGGTAACAATGAGTGGCTGCACGAAAGCAGGATTAGTTTGTTTAAGGATTTTGTTGGGAAGTATACATGCAGCTTCAGCCATTTTGTAAAGACTTACACGGCACGTGTATTATACACCGTGTATTACCATATAGTAATCTTATGATGTCGTCCATTTATGGAGAAATAACCAATCATCAAGGCAAGATGACAAAGACACATATGTGAAAATGAATTTCAGGGACCATGGCCATGTACTATGTGAACGCATGTGGATAGATGTTGGAGTTTTGGTCTTTTGGAAAAATAAACGCTGAACACGGAATAACATGGAGTTCTTATAGAGAAGCTCTCTTTGATTAATTTCCCGCACAGGCTTGTTTAGAGAACATTGGGGCCAGGCATCCATTTTATGGTGCAACACTCAATTTAAATAGGGGCAATGTTCTACGAACATGCCACTCCCCCGATGGCCATGCTAAGGTTCATGGGGGGCTGAACGCAGTCTTTAATGTCATACATATTCCAATTAAAACCCAAGCTCGATCTACAAAATCCAGCAAATCAATGGACGCTATACTAAATACCGAAGTCTTGTTTCTACAAAATGAAAAAAGTACCAGGAACAAGAAACTACTGGGGCTCCTGGCCTTACTACTAGGAACAAGCTGACCATTACAATTATATAAGGCTCTAGTCGTCATGCTTCTCAAAGACCCTAGTCGTCATCACCAAGAACAACAATGACCAGACCACATGCCCAATTCGTCAGAATGACCTCTTGTGCCTGTTTGGCCTGTTTTTGGCTACAAAATGACCCACCCATCTTTTGGCCAAAACTGGTTTTTGACATAATCTCAGGATCATCCATTTTGTAGGGTAAATGGGATACATTGGAAGACATGTTGATACGAAACATCAGTCATACAAAAGTTACTATTTGGGCCAGCCAGGCTCCTTCAAGTTCTCGGACACGGCTGGGGCATCGCAGGGCTGATCGCCACACACAAAATTAGCGAGATTATCCCAAACCTGAGGTTTGCAGGGATAGTGGTGCGCCTGTGACTTGCACATCCCAAGCAACAAAAGTTACAAAAAACAAATGAAAGCTGAAAGCAGCCAAGCTTCTGAATTATAGTCTGAATCACTCTGAGTTGTACAAGTCAGCAAGGATCCTGAGGCACGGAAAGTGCTACACAAAACACGAGAAAACACACAATAAAACACATCAAATAGTTATGTCTCTGTGGCACCAAGAAGCCAGAGCTCGAAGTCATATAGCCCTCCTGGCAAATTGTCGTACAACTGGTGCCATGAGCGAATGGTCCACTACCTTCTTCGCAAGGAGGATCCTCTGCATTCGCAACTCCTTCGTTCACCACGAGGTGTAAACCAATGTGTGCGGGGGCTCTTGGAGAGGCGGGATGCGCATTGCAATCCCTCAAACTTTGAAGTGCAAAAAAAAAGGTGACGGGGGACCTTACGGTACAAGTACCTTATGGTGATCACTCGCGTAAGGGTGTAGGCACAGATGAATGTATACTTCAAAGAAAGAACGTGCTCATGGGTACTTCATTGACACTGGCTGTTCAGGAAATGACCAAGGCCACTTCACCTTCTAGAGTTAGTCAATTCTTGTTTCACCTCGCGGAAAAAAGGCCTTGCAAAAATGGTTCCACCGTCTTGGAGCCCTACAGGGGACAACACCGACAACAGGTAAAGCAATTAAAGGACCGGATAACCCCACATATGAATCTTTACGAGTCTTAAGTTTCTAAAGCACAAAGCAGTCAGAGTCTCAATAGCTTCTACAACACCGGCCTTGTCAGGAAGTGATATCAGCTTCCGACAACAGAGGGGTGGGAGAGAAGGTGTAAGAGAGTGATGTGCACGACGGATGTACGAGGTATTGTGCACACAGGTGTGCGCAGCCACAACTAGCCAGCAACACCAGCGGTTGTCGCACGTCCGCAATATGGGGCATAATGTACGAAAGTTGCACTACAAAGTCGCCAGTTCTCAGCTTCCAGCTCCACAGATTGCTCCG